AGCGGTACATATTTTTGTAACCATTTCTTTGAGACTTTGATGAAGATATATAATCACACATAAATTGTCAACTCCTTGTCACCTCAAATCAGTGGTCAAGTAAAGGTAAAAAATAGACAGATCAAATAAATCTGAGAAAAAACTAATAATCAGAATAAAAAAATTAGTCTATTAAATTGTGCAATGCTTTATGGGCCTATTGGAAAGATTTCAAAATCAACTTTGACATGTTATCGTACAGGCATAATTTCAAAAAGGTGTGTCATCTACAAATTGAACGTGAGCACCGAGCAATGTGGGCAATTAAACAACTCAATTTGATTTAGACTCAGCAGGACAAATAATAATGCTCCAAATAAATGAGTTAGAAGAGATTAATAATAATGCACATGTAAACTCTAAAATTTACAAAGAGAAAACTAAGATTTATCATGATAACTCAATAATATGAAAAATTTTATACCGAGACAAGAAGTTCTGCTTTGCAACTCAAAACTTTATCTTTTTTCTAGAAAATTAAGATCACATAGATGAGTTCATATATTTTTAAATATGTTTTCTCTTATGGGTCTATTGAGATAGAAAATCCTAAAAATGCTCAAGTTTTTAAAATAAACTATCAATGTTTAAAATTATTTTTAAAATTTTTTACACTGGTGTTGGTTCTTTATGAATCACACTATTTTTAATAAAAGAGAAAGAAAATAATTTTTAAAAAAGAAAAGAACAACAAATTAAAAAAAGAAGAAAAAGAAAATATTTCTCATTTTTTTTGGCCCATGAGTACATAAATAATAATTTTTTTCTCTTTCTCTTGGCCTATGAAAGCATGGGTCAAACCTAAAATAATAACAATAAATTTTTCTTGGTCTGCAACCCAGACCATATAAAAAAGGAGAAAAGATCTAACCGATTTGGCTAATCTCTTCTCTAAATCAAAGCTTGGGTTGATTTAGGATCGTATTCAACAATAATTTGCAACTAAAACTCCCTCAATCATTGTTGAAATCAAGATATAACACTCAAATCCTAGTTCTTCAAAATTTTCGTGATTTTTTGTGATTGTTATGCAATTTGTGAATGAATGGGTTGTGAATGTTATGAGAATAAAGATTGGAACAATTAAGATTAGCTTTGCTTGAAATATCTATTAACACCGATGAAGTAGCTCTAATTTTGTTATGGACTAATCGATTAGCTAAATAAGGAGCTATGGTTCGGTGTACAAGGACATTAAAGAACGGATCCGGATCCTCTAAAATTGCATGGTAATTGGAGAGTATCCAATTATTTGAATCTCTATCATTCATATTAAATTTAAAGGTAGCAATTGTGCCACGAGTGGTTTTCAATATTGTGATTGTGGTTTTCGCGATAGTGGTCTTCAAGACAATAGTGGTTTTTAAGGCAATGGTGGTACTCCCACCCGGAATCATCTCGTTCCTTAAAGTTGAAGTAGAGGGTAATGATTAATTGGACACTCTTCAATTACCATAGTTAAAGAATAGTTCGTTGGAGATTCTATGTCTGAGATGTTCCCGGCTGGAGTAGCCGAACTTGGGTACTAATATACACCACGAGTTGGAATAGATAGTCTTCCCGGCTGGAATAGGCGAACTTGGGTACTAATATACACCACGAGTTGGAAATGAGGAAAGTTCCTAACAGGAATGCTGGTGAAAATGAGGAAACAACAGGCATTGGGCAGCGGAACGTGAACTCGTGGGATATAGTAAAAAACTAAAGTGAAGAGTATTTGCACAAGAGGGAACTGCGGAGTAAGAAATGCAAGTGAAATGATTGTTGAAACACATTGGAGTCATCATCTCCACCTTGAGCCTATCGCAAGTCAAAGCTATAGAGAGGTAGAAAGAGCTATAATATATATATTTTTAAAAGCTGTACTTTGAAGAGATAAAATTATGATATTTAAAAGCTATAATGTAGTTGTTCAATAGCTGTATAAACACACGATACTTTCTAGTATGTCAAACATTTCCTCGAAAATAAAAGTCAAATTGTTGAATTATTCCTTGCAGTAACAGAAAATGGAACTCTACATTATCGACAAAGAGCTATTAAACTGCCATGATAAGTTACATTTTTAACATATTGGTTATATTTTGTAGAGAAAGACCTATACTTTAAAATGTTCAAAATTAGAATATTCTAAGCTTCTATATATTTTGCTTATAGTTGTATCAAAACATATATTACTTTTTTCTTTATTATCCTGAAACTTTTTCTTGCAAATAGAGACAAACTTTTGAAGCCATAGAAATTATGAGGAGCTATACTTTGCTCAAAAGGAGCTATAAAACTGCTTAAGGAACTATAGTTTAAACAAGAAAGTAATACATTAATTGTTTGCAAAGAGACATAATGCACTTTAAAAAACTATACTTTGAACAATCAAAATTAGAATGTTCTAAGTTTCTACGTTTTTTAATAATTGAGTCTAAAAAAATATATTGTCCTTAGAGATTTTCTTGCAAATAAGTCCAAAAGTTTGATTTCTTTCTTAAAGTTAGAGAATACATAAAGAGCTACGTATTTGTTTAGATCTCTAAACCAATCTAAGGAGCTCTATTTTGAAAAAAGAAGATCAGTACATGGTCATAAGAGCTATACTTTGATTAGTCAAAATTAGGACATTGTAGGATTCTGTATTGCTCTAATATTATACCTAAATCTAATATCCGTTTTTAGTGTATTTTGCTCATGCATTGAGTCAGAATATTGGACTTTTCTTGAAGTTATAGAACCCATAAGGCGCTGCACTTTGTTCAGAAAGAGCTATCTTTATTAAGTGTATACCCTAAAACGAAAACCAAATGACTTTAACTCTCCTGAGCTTAACATGCCAGCATTTTTGTTTGTATATTTTTGGAAACGTGGCATCTTTTATCTAAACTCACCAAAATCTGTACACACCAAATAATAACATGGGATTCATTTACTTATAGAGTTTTAAGTTTAAGGATAATTTGAGAGAGAGAGAGAGAGAGAGAGAGAGAGAGAGAGAGAGGAGAGGGAGAGAGAGAGAGAGGGAGAGGGAGAGAGAGAGGTTTCCTATCTTTAAAAAAAATAACACAACTATAAAGTTAGAATGTTAAAAGAATGCACATAAAAAAAACAGACAAATATACAATACAATGAAACATGGATAAGAAATATACAAATAAGAATATTGTAGTACAATGAAGAATGGAAATTTTATTAAAAATAAAATGTAAAAAAGAATAAAATACAATATAAATAAATTTATTGTGATTTAAGGGATTGATAAAGTAAACAAACGAAACTTTTAAATACCTTCTCAATTCTGAAAAAAATTAAAAACAATTAATAATTAAAACAAAGTAATTACAAATCTTATTAGAATGCTAAAATAATTATTATCAAATATTCTTCTCATATTCTTTGTAAGCCTCAATCCTATTTCTCTAATATTTCGTCATTTTCATCTATAACAAAACAAAGAATTAGAACAAAGTAAAATAGAGAGATTTTCAATTTCTAAAATTATTTTATAAAATTTCAACTAATATGCTGCGGTTTTTCAAATAGAAATTACTTTACGAGTGATCCTTGGGAGTACTAAAATTGAGATAATTCCACATAAAAGGATTCAAAGTAAGAGTAAGAATCAATTTAGAGCCCCTAAACATAGGATCAAAAGAGGCCTACATCAAAGGATCTGTGTGTAAATTGATAAAAAATTAGAACCCCTAAATACTGCGGCCTATAATTTAGAGCCCCTAAACTAGTAGAAATTTGAATTTTCTAGACGGAATATTCTAGACGGAAAAATTTCTGTCTAGGATGTAATATCCTAGACGGAAATTTTTCGTCTAGAATATTCCGTCTAGGATATTCTATTCTAGACGAAAATTTCCGTCTAGAATAGTATTGTAGACGGATTTATTTATTTAATTTTTTTAAATTAACTAAGCATCCTAGACGAAAATTTCCATCTGCGTTGTATCCTAGACGGAAATTTCCGTCTAGAATACTCCAGTCAGTTTTTATTTAAAAAATCACAACCCCTAAATACTGCCGCCTATAATTAGGGCTAGGCATATTCGGTTCGGTTCGGTTTTATGCCCAATCCGCATCCAATCCGAATTTTTCGGATGCTCAAAACTCTCATCCAGATCCAGAATTTTTCCCCTTCATCCGAATATTCGACCCAACCGAAATTCGGTTCGGTTCGGTTCGGTTTCGGTTTTGAATTTGCAAAGAGTTCTATCCAAAGACTTCTGTTGTGAATTTGCAAGCTGGGCATTTTCCTCATGATGAGGTTCCTGAGCTCGCCAACAAAGCTTTATTAGACTGGTTATCATCTTTAGAATAAAGTTTTGAGTTGATATAATTACGCAGAGAACTGATGTTTTAAAGATGTTGTTCATATAATACAGCATGCTTATCTCTTGTAAGTATCATGTACTTAACACATCTTGTGATAGATTTGAATCTTATGTAATTCTCAAGATATTTTCTGCGAATTTTTTTAACTAATGTTTAAGTTTATTTAATTACACGGGGGAGTGATGTTTTGTATGATATTGTTCATATAATGTAGCATATGCATCTTTTGTAAGTGCATCATGTGCATAACAAATTTTCTGGATTGATTTGAATCTTTACTTAGTTCTCAAGGATATTTTTCTGTGATATTGCTGTGCTCATTGCTTGAAACTGCTCCTTGCGCCGTTTGAATCTATTGGAAGATAACAGAAAAAGTTTTGAGGTATAAGTTTAGTCTCTAAACCGCCCAACAAAATTCGGGTCGGTTTTTTTTGGGCGATTCAGGGGTTCAAACCGGATCCAAACCGATTTAATTCGGTTCGGACGGTTTAGAGACTTCTTCCCATCCATTTAATTCGGTTCGGTTAACCGGTCTGTTTTTTCGGGCGGTTTTTTCGGTTGAACCGGGTTTTTTTGGGTTTTTGCCCACCCCTACCTATAATTAACGCCTCAAACCCTAAATTCCCAAATTCTCCGCGCCCTCCCATTTTTCTCCTCTGTTCGACGGCCAGAACCGTCGTCCCGTCGTCCCCCTTGATCCCGCGCCCTCCCGTCGTCCTCCTCGACATCTTCGTCCCGTCGTCCTCCTCGACGTTTCGTCGTCACCTCCCCCTCAGCTCCTCGACGTCCTCCTCCGACATCATCATCCCGTCGTCACCTCCCCCTAAGCCCCTCAGCTCCTCGCTGTCCCGTCGTCCTCCTTGACGTTTCCTCGTCATCCTCCTTCGACATCGCCGTCCAAGAGTGCACCCTTAGGCCAAAAAATTTATTCCCAAAATTCGTTCCCCCGCCTAAATTCACAAACTCAGAAATAAAACCCCCAAAACTTTTATCCCCCTTCAAACCCTCTCTAAACTTCTTTTTCTCTCTAAAAATCCCTCTCACTGTAAACCCACTTCGTCTTCCCCCTCAAATCTCTCGAAATTTCCCAGTTTTAAGGTAATTTTCGTCCCAGATCCTCGGATTTACGTATCAAGTTCGAGTCTTTGACGAGCAAATTGAGTTTTTTGAGCTTGAATCGAAATGGGTGGCTTATTTTGTTTTAATTGTAATTTTCTGTTGGTTGTGTAGGGATTCAGTTCGAGAATGGACTCTATGATTGTAAGCAAGTCTGCGTGCTCGGCTCTGGTAAGTTCACTGCTCATTTTTTAAAAAAATTGATTTTTTGGTGTTTTCACTAGAATTTTGAGCTTAAGTTTTATGTTTGTTATTTAAGAGAATATTTGTGTTATGTTCTTTATGATCCTGTATGTGATAATAATTTGAATTAGCGTTTGAGCCTGTAGTAATATTTGTGTTATGTTCTTTATGATCCTGTATGTGATAATAATTTGAATTAGCGTTTGAGCCTGTAGTTGAATGATTTTATGGTGGGCGAGTATATTGGAAGGTTGGTACATTGGCTGAATATGATTGAATGATGATTTGGGTAGAAGGTTTAGTTATACTTTTTCATATGGTTTGTATTTTTAAGTTCTCATTTCAAACTTTTTAACGCGTAATGTAAAAACTATATTGTATTTGTTTTTGATTTGCAATGGATAGTTTAGCTGCTAATTGCATGATTTTGTGTTTACTCCAACTGGTGTGAAGTATTTGCACAAGAAAGCTTCAGAATATGACATTGGGATCTATTTTGAAGCAAATGGTCATGGAACAATTCTATTTTCAGAAGATTTTATATCTATCCTACATGATGTGGAGAAAGAGCTTGCTTCTTGTCCAGGTTAACTCAACTACCTTATATCTATCCTACATGATGTATTATAAGTGTGGCAGCTTGGAAGATGTGTGCTTGGTGTTTGATAAAATGCATGTTTATTCTTTAAGTGTTACAATGTTTACTAACGATATAAATGATGACTTCAGATCACATGGCATGGGAACAATTTGATACACCCGGTGAAAAAGCTCCAAACTCATTATACAGAGAAACATGACTTGTAAGCATTGCCGACATACAAACATGAGAAAATAAGTAAAATTTATTAATGTTAAATTTCCTCCCATGCTGCTTTTTCATTTATTTAATTTTACAATGCAGATGTAAACATTGAGATGAAGTGCCTGGTTCAAACACCAAATATTAGTAGAGAGTGTTACTAATAATACTTTTCAAGCACGGCAGCTACATTGGAGGATATTTCAAGTGCTGAATGGTTGTCATTTGATTTGACGATGCTAAAAGCAGCTACTGGTAATTTTGCTGATTCTCTAAAACTTGTACAGGGTGGTTTTGGCACAGTATATAACGTACAGTGGTTATATGGCGCCTGAATATGCAGCGTGGGCATTTTTTGATGAAGTTGGACGTATACAGCTTTGGGATTCTAGTTCTCGAGAGTATGACTGGAAATAGGAGTAACAGCTTCCAGTATGATTCTGAAATTTCTCCAGACATAGTAAGCTATGTGAGTATGCATTGTAAGCCTTTGTCAGCTACATTACTACTTAAAATTAGTTTTAGAACAATCTGTATAAATTAATGAGTCAGCTGAGCTAAAAATAAATAAACAATCTCTAGAAAGGTTTCATTGTCTGGGGATGTTTACTGACAAATGTCTATTTGCAAGATTACTATGTCAATATACAAGCAAAGGTATTAAACTGCAGTTTAGACACATCAACAGTAGCAGCGGAAAAAGAAAAAAGTATCACTCTCACACATGCTGGTCGGAGGCTCTATTCAGAGAAACAATTGAAATGGCATGAATCAAGAGTAGGCAGTTCATGAGCCTGGAGCTTCCGATGCTGTGGAGGTTTCTGTGTTCCAAAAGTGTAGGCAGTTCGGACATTTCACCCCCCACAAAGGAGAATAAATTGGATTCTTAATGTATATTTGATTTTTCTCATTGTCACGTGACTGATTTTGTAATGCTAATACAGCCATAATGATGCTACTTGCTGTATTTTTTGTGAACATGTATCATTCAGATTGCGTGTTCGTTTGCAAATTTCTGGGGAATATGTATCATTCGGATTGCACGTATTTTATGTGAATTAATTAGTAATGTTGTTATTTGTAATTTTTTTGCTTAATTCTTCAATGCACAAAGTAGGTTCCTCACCAAGCAGCAGGCAAAAAAAAAAAAAAAAAAACTACTATACCAAAGCATCCTAGACGGAAATTCCGTCTAGGATGTTCAAATTCCGTCTAGGATGTTCAAATTCCGTCTAGGATATTTTTTTTAAAAAGAAAAATTTTAAAAATTAAAAACATCAATTTCCGTCTAGGATGAGTATTCTAGACGGAAATTTTCGTCTAGAATACACATCCTAGACATAATTTTTTTCCTTCTAGGATGTAGTATTCTAGACGGAAATTCCGTCTAGGATGTATTCTAGACGGTTATGAATTCCGTCTAGAATATTCCGTTTAAAATGTATTCTAGACGGAATTTCCGTCTAGAATACTACATCCTAGACGGAAACTTTCTAGACGCGTATTCTAGACGGAATTCCGTCTAGGATACTCATCCTAGACGGAATTTTGTGTATCCTAGACGGAATTTTCCGTCTAGGATGCATTTATAAAATTTCATCTAATATGCTGCGGTTTTTCAAATAGAAATTACTTTACGAGTGATCCTTGGGAGTACTAAAATTGAGATAATTCCACATAAAAGGATTCAAAGTAAGAGTAAGAATCAATTTAGAGCCCCTAAACATAGGATCAAAAGAGGCCTACATCAAAGGATCTGTGTGTAAATTGATAAAAAATTAGAACCCCTAACAGTAAGAGTAGAAATCAATTTATTAACAATTCAAAGTAGAATTATTTTCTTTCTTGAGAATTCAAGCAGGTTGATAAAATAGGGGATCAGAGTAGCATGCATAACTAAGAAATTCTTCAAAGTTTGATGAACCCAATTGTAGGATCCAATTATTATAATAGCTCCAACAATCTGTTAAATTAATTATTCAAGCAAGTAATTACTATAACTCCCACAAAAATAAAACGTCATGGACTCTCTATCTTCGAGGCAATGAATGGGCGACGGTGGGGGGATGAGACGTTAAAAGGGACTCGATGGTTGAGGTGGAGGAACTGGGTGAGGGCAGAGGAGAAGGAGGGTTAGGAGAGTATGGGGAGAAGACTAGGGGGTGGCCCGGGTGGGGGAGCTGGGTTTGGCGATTTAAGACGATTGAGAAAAGAGAAATCTTGTTTCTTGATAAACATGGTAAAACGGTTTCTATAAATAGAAAATATCTTGCAATTTCGTGTTAAATGTTCTAATAGGGGCGGTCTGAGGGTGCATTTTAGCGGGCGATCTCCCTGCTAATGTGCACATCCTCCTAGATTTGAAATGGCGAAGACGAAGAAGAAGAAGAAGAAGACTGGAAGCAAGGAGATTTTGAGTAGGGAGCTGAGGGATTCGATCTTCATCTATCCTTCTTCAGCTGCTGGTGTTTCCTCGTCTAATGCTGGAGTGAATTTGGATGGAACAGTAAACTCTCTGGTCTCTCAGGAGATGGAGAGTACGGGGCAAAAGGGAGCAAAGAGGAAGTTGAAGATACCACAAGAAATTACATCTTTAACAAAGGGATTTCCCTTCGTTAAAGAGCTGAAAATCTTCGTTATTGTATGCTAACGACGAGAAAAAATCCCTTCGTCACCCGTCGTTGAAGCCCTCTTCGCTAAAGGGTCATGAAGGGATATACTACCCGTCGTTATAGAGTCATAACGACGGAACATATTACCGTCATTAATATTTACGACGGTAATTATCTCAGTCATTAACATCAGTGACGGAGATATTTTCCCATCGTTACCATCAGTGACGGGATATTTTCCTGTCGTTACCATTAGTTACGGGTATATTTTCTCGTCGTTACCATTAGTTACGGGGATATTTTCCTATAGTTGAAGACTAATTAATGACGGTTGGATACCGTCATAAAAGTCCTCATAATGGGTAATTAGTAACCCATCAACGACAGTACTTTCCCTTCGTTGATGACAAAATACGGTTTATAAAACCATCATTGTAGACTACAAATTTCTAATATACATTAATAATAATTTTTCGGTTTATAAAACCATCATTGTAGACTACAAATTTCTAATATACATTAATAATAATTTTTCCATTCATAGGCAACTATCATATTAATTTCTAATATACATTAATAATAATTTTTCCATTCATAGGCAACTATCATATTATTCTCAATCTGACACTAAAATTTACAACAAAAATATATTAAAAATACCCAATAATGAATAAGAGGGAAAATAAAAAATTTCATTCATTAATAACATCAATAAATAAAATTCCACCATCCTCAAATATTCAATACTAATAATAAGAGTTAATATCCTAATTGTTCTAAAGAAAAATACATGAAACTATCTAAAACAAATTAAAATAAAAGTTTGGGAAGACACATTCTTTCATCTCTAATCATCGTCAAAAGAAGACTCGAGCTACCCCCTCCTAATCTTGCATGGATAGCCTGAAAATTTTAAAAAAATCACATAATTAAGAAATATCAATTAAGCAAATATTATCTTATTAAGTAAAAAATATATTTTTTTAGTGCAAGTAGTTAATCATAAAAGTATATAAGAGATTTTACAAAAAATAATTACCTAGTCCTGCACACGTTCTCGAGTTTGAGGAGTCAATGAAGGTGATTGCCTAAAAAAAAGTTCTTGCATAGCTTTAACTTGTGACTCCAACTCAGACATCCTTTGTTGTTGTTGCTCCTGCTCATCTAAGCATTGTTGAAGCATCTGGTTCTTTCTCTTTTTTTCTATAACCCGTGCTTCCAGATCAGATCGACTAGGGAGCGGTCCTCTCAAATCTTTCAAAATAGTTCCGCCACCAAATACAGTAATGTGATCATGAGATTGCTTTCCCAAGATTTTCTCAACTATCTTAATGTCAGAAAGTGAAGGGTTTGCTTGTTTGACTTGAACAATTTCATCCTATAAAAATTAAATTCATATGTTAGTATTATATAATGCATCATTATCAAACTTAAACACATATTCTACTTACATATTTATCTTGATCCCCAGTATCTAGTGTTTCATTAGCTTTCTTTCGAGTTTCATTAAACATTTTTACCACATCAGGTGGATTTCCTGACTTGCCACCCTTATTCAAATATTAAATAAAAATGAGTACAACATCAAACTAAAAAACAAAGTAGTTTTAAATAAATAGGAAATTAATTTTGAATGTATACCAATTCCCACGTAATTTATCTAAAGGGTTTGTTGCCCGTGTGGTGGAGCATCTTTCTTTTGCCTCTGTTAAGTGTATTTTGTTGGCTTGCTTTCTATACATCAAGATTAAAAGATAATTTCAACAATCCAACAATATACATGGAACAAAATTAATAAAATTAGGAGATTAATACCTAAAATTTTGAAGAAAAATAATGTTCCTTAACTAGCAAATCCCAGCCATCAACACTCACTTCTATAGGTTTATTTTTAAGTGCAACTTGCAATGAATTTTCTTTCACATATTTCCTGTGCATATCACCACGCCACTTATTCCACCAATCGCGCAAATATCTCATTACTGACCCTCTCTTTTGCTCCATGTCCTCGGCATCAAATTTATCATATATTCTACTGACATATTTATCTTGATCCCCAGTATCTAGTGTTTCATTAGTTTTCTTTCGGGTTTCATGGAATATTTTTGCCACATCAGGTGGATTTCCTGACTTGCCACCCTTATTCAAATATTAAATAAAAATGAGTACATCATCAAACTAAAAACCAAAATAGTTTTAAATAAATAGGAAATTAGTTTTGAATGTATACCAATTCCTACGCAATTTGTGTAAAGGGTTTACTGCACGTGTGGTGGAGCATCTTTCTTTTACCTCTGTTAAGTGTATTTTGTTGGCTTGCTCTCTATACATTAAGATTAAAAGAGAATTTTAATAATCAAGCAATATACATGGAACAAAATAAATAAAATTAGGAGATTAATACTTAAAATTTTGAAGAAAAATAATGTTCCTTAACTAGCCAATCCCAGTCATCAACACAAAGAAATGCTTAATTTTATTTTGAGACTCGTATGTTCAGATATGAGGTCATTCAGGATCTAAAGGCAAAGATGTTAACCTATATATGGTGTCATTCAGAAACTATTTATTTATGCAATCATTGGTCAATGTGGAACTTATATAAAAACACCCTCACAATGTTGTCATTGGTGTAATGTATAAATCAAACATAGGCAATAAGGCATCATTTCTCTTCAGGTTGCATATCCTTCAGCCTCAGGCTTGTCTAAAACTATAGGAAAATAAAGACAAGTACCATTTCTCTTTGTGTAGACAGCTCTTCAACCAAGAAAGTTGTAAGGATTCAGTTCTGTTAACAAACGTATCAGTTAAGCTTTTTCAACTTTTCACTAATCCTAGTTCTTACAAAATTATTGTAAAGAATAAGTCAACCCTATTTAAAATATGATGTTTATCCTAGCAATATTCTAACAATTTAACGCAATAAGTTTCAAAACAAAAACCTGCTCATCTGAGTATATTGTATTATAGTCTTGATTTTGGAAACTTAAGATCTCCCAAAATTGGCTATAAGCTTAACTAAAAATCATTAATACAGTTTCGACACAAATTTCTAGTCAATGTGTGAAGGCCTTAAGATTTAGAATAATGACTAAATTAGCAAGCTAATGAAACTACATAATTTCTTATTAAAACATGATAAAATACAATAAAATACTTGCACATCAAAATGTTCCACAAAATACAGTAAAATATCATAAAATACAGTAATCTGACCCTTGGTGGTTCTTGAAAGGTAAATGAAACTTTTTTGAATTAGCATGGCAGCCTAGTTGCACAAGAACATAATAGATAGTTATGATGTGTCTATATGTATCAGAAAAATTGATTTAGAAAGTTAGTGTATTACCTTTTCAGAATTGATGGTTTAAGCTTTTGTCCCGGAAGTCTTCCTAAT